GGCCCGGGAGCTGGCGGTACCAGTAGATGTAATCATAAGACTGGATGTTGGGGTGTGAGCAAGTGATGTTGATGCCGATGCCCTCGCTGGTCTCTGCCGACGGCTCCTGCTGCACCTGAGCTCTGCTCACAGCCACTGCCGAGAAGAAAACAAGAAGAAAAATTAGAAAATTGTTTTGTTCCCACAGAAATTTCATACAGGAGGAGAGAGGGGCAAGGAGTTGGAAACAGGCCGAAGGGTCAGAGGCGAGTCCGGACGCAGCTCCCCTCAGCCCCCGCAGTCCATCCCCGCCGGCGGCAGCCCCGCGCACCCAGGAGCACCGCGGCCAGCCCCGCCAGCCCCGCGGCCCGGCACTGCCGCATCCCGCCGCTCCGCCGCCCGGGCCGCGCCGCGCCGCGCTGCCCCCGCCAGCCCCGGCTCTGCTCCGCCCGCGGCGCCTCCTCCCCGCCGCCGCCGCCAGCTCCGCCCCGGAGAGGCTGCGCCCTGCGCCGGCGTCACTCGGGCTTGCTCCGGGCTGCGAGTGCTGGGCGCCCGTGTGCGGGTAGCGGGGTTTGGGCTCTGCGTGACCTGTAATTTAGCCCGGATGCGAACGCGTAAGCGGTGAACGGACTGCTGCGAAATCTCCTTTGGCACAGAAGATAACCGTTGTTTGCCTGCAGTGTCTCTGGCGACACGGGCAGACGAGAGCACAGACAGACGGGACGAGACGGACAGGGGAGAGCGACGCGGACAATTTCTGGTCCCCCGGCTGTGCACGGAGCTGCCACATCTCCGAAAACCCGGCAGCGGGAACGGGTCGTGTGCTGCTGCCCGGGAACGCGGCACCCCGAGAGCTCCCCGGGTCCCGCAGGCTGCTGCTGCCCATGGTGCTGATGTCGCCGCTCGACGAGCCCGAGAAAGGCCGGCAGCGGCGCCGGGTTGGGTGACTGGGTTTAGTGGGCACGAGTGTTTGAATTCACGGGAGAAACGAACAGGGAGCCTGGAGGCACGGTTATAGAGACCCACTAGTCTCAAACGGAACCAAATGTGTGCCCGGATGTCAGAGACAAAGATTCAGACAATCACCCGCATCCTCATCTTACTACTCGCAGCCTCTGACCAACGATTCCACTCCATTTCAACAGGTGAAAGCTCACATCTCTCAGCCTTGGCTGTATGCCTGAATGGTAATGGGGATAAAACCCTCCCGGGCCACACTTTTTTAGGTGCCAAGACCTGCCCCTGTTCCATTAGTGACACAGGAATCTCCCCTTGTTACAGCAGATGAATCCCATTAAGCAGAGATTCTGGGGAAATGTCAATGGACCATAATATCCTAAGTGTGTTCCTGATGTTGTAAGGTACCCAGAGAGACTGTGAAGAGAGAGGAATTGTAGTGGGAGCCTTGCCAAAGACTTTGAAGGTATTGACCTTGGCTAGACAAATGTGCTCTGTGGGGCCTTGTGTATCAGGCTTGAGAAACCCTTCCTTCATCCCTGAAAAAATACAGTGATGGAATCAGCCAGAGTGCCCCATGCCCAGATGTGCTTTCTGTGCTGGAGGGTATAATGTTCCATCACATAGGGAGAATATAGATCTCTCTATGGGAAGGGTGTGCACAGTGTGACTCAGATAAATTCCACTGGTTCTGTCTGATGCTGAGGAAATTTGGGGTTTCCAGTGTCAGAAGGGAGTTGGGATGTCTTTAGAGCTGTCTCTAGAGCTCATCTCATTGTGTCTTAATAAATCCAACACTTTCACAATTTTCTGCTGTGCCTTTCTTTGGGGATCTGGAAAAGATCCTGCACAACTTCTACCTCCATACTCTCATCTCTGGAGCAGAACAGGAGGAAGCAAATGAGTCCAGCAGAATTTTCCAGAGAGCAGTGTGAGGTGCGATAAGGTCACACCCAGGAGCTGGGCCACTTCTTGCCGGAATGGCCCCAAGGAGCCCCTAAGGAGTGACTCAGTGTGCCATCGTTTGCCTTTGCTGGACTCTTCCAGTGCAGGAGCTGAATCTATTGCCCAAATGGATTAGCATTGCCCAGAAATACTTGAGTCTCTCTTCTAGTAATTCATAGGGTGCTTCAGCAAGAAATGAACAGAGCATAAGGCCAGAAATGAAATTGAACAACACAGGAAAACAACGTGCTGTCTATATCTGCAATGTTTTGCATTCAAGAGGAGTTTCTTAGAAAATATCAGAGTTGTCTTTTCCCCTCAGAGATCTCTGTTAGTAACCCCTCAACATCAGTCTCAAGTGACCAACTTTTATCTCTACAATTCTTGGCCTTGAAATGAGGGCCTTGTGGCAATGCTGCCATAGGAATGATTCTTGTCTGTTCCTGCTGTTCCCCACACTCATCCACTCTTGGAGTGATTTTATTTCCTTGTTCCAACTCATTTAACATTTGTTGCATCCTTTAATGTGCCCTTCCCTGCTTCTGTGAAAGAAGGGTGGCTTCTACTAAATCCAAAAACAGCAGCAAAGGCTAACTGGACATAGTAGTGGATCTCTCTGGATAATAAAATCAAGAACATATAATGAATCCAAAAGAGCAGTGAAACCTGGTAACTACCAAACCATTTTTTCTAGGCATGTTCTTAATGGGAAAGATTTTCAAAGCATACCAAGTTTGTGTTTCTCCCTGTGAGGTGATGTAAATGTATATCGGAATTCCCCTGCATTCCGCAGGCAATTTGCACCTGCAATCAGATCTCCTACACTTCAGACAAGCCTCAACAGTGCAGAAGGATTGCTGCTGGAGGTCTCTGGTGAGGTTGCATTTGGGGGATGATGGCAGCACTGAATTTGTATGCAAGTAGGAGTGTTCCAGCCATAACACTCTTCAGCACAGTGTCTTGCTTGGCCCAGGTGTTCCCAAGATGAGAGAATCCATAGGTTCCCTGTGCTTTGCCTTTCCTGATGTTTTCCACCCAGAAACATGCAGTCACACCTACAGCCTGGCCACTTCTGTGTCCTCTTTTTGTTAAAATAACCACAGTGTCCACAGATGATCTTGTCATCTGTGAAATGCAGGGAATCATGGAATCATAGCAAATCCTGAGGTAGAACAGACAAACAGACAGAAGTCAGTGACTCCATCACTGTTCTCCACACAGAATCAATTAAAAACTAAACCACATCCCACTTGAGTCCCGCCTCAATTCCAACACATTATTTTGTATCTATTGCAAGAAGTCTCCTAAAAAAAATGGGAACCATGGTGTGATGGAAGCAAAAGTGGAAAATGCCTTCTGGTGAGTGAAAGGACTGGGAGAACAGAGAACTATGAAGACGTACATGTCAGAAAATACTATGAAAAAAAGAGCATTTTGGAAAATAAGGATCAGAACCATCTGGTTCCTGTCCCAGAGCCCAGGCTCCGAACAGTCCCAGTACCACAGGACAATGATATTCCTGCTGTATTGTAATGTGTCAATTATGTATGTCAATCAAAGGGCAACAGTGAAAAAACTAGATGTTCAGTGATACTCAGATGACTGCCTTTTACCTGGGAGCACTAATGTTCCTCCTGATGACACAGAAATTCTCCAGTTTTGGGAACAATGGTATACCAGATCTCAAGAAGATGAACTTGCTAAGGAAGATAGAGACTGGGATCCTCCCACTTCCCACAGTGACAAAGGTGCAGCCATTCCTATTGTGATTAGGAGAGAGATGGAAAAGATAATGACAAACAGGACCATGTGTCAACTGGTGTGGTCTATTTTAGCCCAGAAGAATCAATTTGGTCACCGATGTCCCGCTTTCCTTTGCCATGGCTCCAGGATTTTCCAGTGTCACTGCTGTTTTGTTGAAGCCATTATCCCCAGACACAGCGTCATCATATCCATCCTACTGCCCTCTCTAGAGTAATGCTTCCCAGTTGCTGCATCCTCTGACAAACAGCACTCTGAAAATGAGAGTTACTTCATCCCAAAGGAGCCAGCAGTTTCCCACAGAAAATTCTTTCCACCTGAGCCAGGAGATGGGATGGCATTATGGAAGTAGAGAGGTGCTGGGAGATGCTAGGGGGCACCAGGCAAAGACTAGATCTAGGCTGCAGGTACTAATCAGTTAAAGATAAACACTCCAGCTTCCCTGCACCCTTTTCAGACTTTGAGGTACCCAGGTTGCACCAGTACTGGACACCAATACACACAGGGTACTGGGCCTTGGGAGCTGCTGGACCTATGCACATGGTCAGTCTAATTCTGTGCACATGTGCAGAAGCACGTACCATGTGTGCATACACAAACACACCTGTGTCTGTGCACAGGTACTGTTACATCAGTGCACTCACAGAAGCACAAGCAAACAATGCACGCACAGAAACAGAAGCTCAGAAACTTCAGGAACATATGTACACTCATTACCCGTGCTCATGCACACACAGCTGGAGAGGCAGGGGCTGAGGCCATGTGGAAATGACTTAGTCATTTAGATGCTTGTTGCATCTGGCCAGGCTTTTCACATCATTCCTGGATAAAGTCAAGACAATTTTTTTTACCTCTTTCTTCATTTTTATAGGTTCATAAGCATCTTTCTTCGGATGAATTTCTGAGAGTCCAGGGATTGTTTAGCATGGTGGAGTCGAAGAGGGGATCAGATCAATGCTTATAAATATCGAAAGGGAAGATGTCAAGAGGATGGGACCAAGATCTTTTCAGTAGTGCCCAGTGTGGCAAAAGGCACCAACTTGTACAAAGGAATCTCCATCTGAACATGGGAAAGAACTTCTTTACTTTGAGTGTAAAAGAGCAGAGCACTGGAACCAGCTGACCAGCTGACCAGAGAGATTTTGGAATCTCCTTCTCAGCAGATACTGAAAACCCACCTGGATACTTTCCTGTTCTGCCTGACCTAGGGAATGTGCTTTAGCATGGCAGTTGGACTAGATGATGTCCAGGTGTCCATTCCAACCCTTACAATTCAGTGATTCTGTGACTCTACCAGCCAACTAAAATGGCTCATTGGTGTGCTCCTTGGAGTTTCATGGACTACTCCTCTTATGTCCCTGTGCTCTGCTTTCTCTTCAGCATCTCTCCCAGGTACAACTTCAGCACTGACCCACGCCCTGCTATAACCACTGCCTGCCATGCCCAGTACCATCCATTCCTGCCTTCTGGACTGACCCTACTGGTC